AAAAAAAAAAAAAAAAAAAAAAAAAAAACAACGTCCTGTCCAGCATTCCCCGGGGCCAAGTCCCACTTACGCTGATCCTTGATTTCTAGTCGTTGATCTTCGGAATCTGCGGTCAGAAATCGATCATTCGGGGAAGTGGGACTTGGCCCCCGCAAAGCTCAATGGTAAATGCGTTGCTCAGAAAGTTTTTTTTATTTTTTATTATTATTATTATTTTTTTTTGCTGCTCAGAATTTGCAGGCAGTACAAAAGACCTTTTCTGTGAGAGCAGAAGGGACGCTGCGCCCGGTTTCGAGCAAGTTCTGGTCCCTACTACCGTAGTAGATCGGGGCCTGTGACATGAAGAAAAACAAAAAAGGGAAAAACTCCGCGCATTGCGACAAATAACGTACGGCCTAAACTCTTCTTCAGCAGAATGAGGGCTGCAGGTAGGGTGCAGTGCACTTGGCGAGCGAGGTAGGAGGCTTCGGCCATGATGAGTATGTCTCCCTTTCCTTTTCTAGAAAAGGAAAAGGGAAACTATGCGGGAGTCACAAAAATGAGTTATAATTGCACTATGGGCCAAGATACAGTTTCGAATTGCAGTTCGGGCAATGTATACAACCCAGATTTCTGGCCAGGTGTAGGGTGCCGGACGCGCAATTGCAAACTGTATCTTGCCCCATACTGCAATTATAACTCCTTGTTTTCGTGACTCTAGTGAAGTTACAGCGCCATCATTAGAGAACATTCACTTTTGGTGGCCATGGGGGAGGGCCAAGGGAGGGTCGGGGAGCGGGGGGAGCGGGGGGAAGGGGGAAAGGGGAAAGGGGAAGGGAAGGGGCAAAGTCTTTTCCACCTTCGAAAACCGGCTGGTCAGTGGTGCAGAGAGACAATCCCCCTTCTAAGATATACAGGGCTGTGAACCAAAAGGACCAACTTGAAGAGGTCACGCACACGCACAACAATCCTCAAGGATTTCTGCAGCCCGGACAACGGTGAGGACTATGAACTGCCTTCCTCCTCATCGGGGCCCAAGTCCAACTAGCAGCGTTGAGTTTCCTCGACCCCTGAATCTGGACGTGTTTGTGGAGATGTGCTGTTGAGTTTCCTCAACGCCGTTTTCTGCACATCTCCACAACCACGTCCAGATTCAGGTGTTGAGGAAACTCAATGGTGCTAATGGGACTTGGCCCCTGGGCACAGCCATATATTTTCTCTCACCTCTCAAATACTTTTTAACTGGCGTTCTTCCATTTCAACCATTCCCTTTTCTCTTATTTTTCTTCCCCTTGTTTTCCATTTTTCTTCCGACATCCAATTTCCCGCATGATTCCGCAGATGAAGGCCGCTGCCCAGGCTTCAGAGGTAAATAGAAACGTTTAAAGTCATGGCAGGCAGGGAATGATTGTGGCCTAAAAGGCATGAGGGAATTTGGACGAGAGCCGGGCCCGTATGGTCGTACCCAGCAGCAAAAAAGAAGGATTTTTTTTTTTTTTTTTTTTTTTTAATTTTGTTGTGTCCGTTCCGTTGGGCTGGCCACACAAATGGCAAGTGTACGACCGGGGCCAGGGCGGCAGTGTCCGTTCAAGTGGAACCCGCCCAACCAAAAGCGCCGATACCCACGTGAAACCTACAGAGGATACAGGAAGGTGGGGGCCATATAAAAAAAAAAGGGTTACTCGTTTTCTTTTACGGGTCGACGGGAGCGGGCCCAGCTTTTTCGTTGTGTTACGGATTCTTGTTCCGTAAGTAGTGTGGGATCAGACCCTTATACAGCAGAGAAAGAAGGAGCAGCATGTCACCTTTTTCTCACTTCAAAATTCAAAATTCAAACGGCTTTTTCTTTTTTTAAAGGACAACAGCCTCAATTCAGCATGATTGTAGCTTCTGATCCAACAGTGCATAAGTTATGCAATTTTGTTGAGAAACGCGGACCCCACCACTTTGCAAAATCACAGGGCGCTGTGCTTTGTTAGGGGTACGTTTCCAGCCGCTTGACGTTTTGTATAGAGATCTGGGGATTGCCAAGGGAGGAAGGCAGTCACTTGGCCCGGTTCCCAGCACGTGCTTCTCCCCACAAATAGATTGGAGAAAAAAAAAAAAAAAAAAAAAAAAAAAAAAAAAAAAAAAGTCCACAAATTTGGCGCGGGGGACAAAAAAACAACAAAAAGAGGGGGGGGGGGGGGGGGGGGGGGGGGGGGGGGGGGGGGGAAAAAGGGTGAGAGGGAGAGAGAGAGAGAGAGAGAGAGAGAGAGAGAGAGAGAGAGAGAGAGAGAGAGAGAGAGAGAGAGTTTCCAGTACACAACACTCCACCTGTTTCTGCCACTTCTGGACAGTTGTGACGACCAGATACACTCGCTTTGATCCATTGTTCTGAATGCATCCACATGTCAGTGTATCTGGTCATCAATAGTCCGGATGTCAGTGTAGCTGGTGTATCTGGTCATCAATATGTTCCAGAAAAACGTAGAATGTTGGGCCTCACTCCACTACTTTCGACATGTGCAAAACGAGAGTGAATCTTCAGCTAGAACATGGAAAGATACACCGCCATGATTTTTGTTTTT